GTACTCTCTTGTCTGATTCAGCATGTGATAGGTGCAGGCAAGGCAGGCTCCCCTTGGGAAATTGTGTGCTTTGTTTTAAGAGACTAGTCATTGTGGAATTCTGAGTCATGGGTGTTTCCTGTGTGTGTGGAATTCCTGCAGAATGACTGGCTTTGATCTCTTTTCTGTATATTTGAGTGGCAGCTAATTGTGGATTTTATTAGGAAAATAGCTTTGATGATTAAATGGGAGGCAGAAATATGGTAGCTACAGGATATTATTTTATTACACCCCTGAACAAATTGTGAGCCACAAAGCTCATCACAGCCCACCAGCCATGTATGGCAATGTACCAAGCGTTCTTGTCTGCGACAGCTTTAGCTTTGTCACAAGTTGTTCAAGGCCAGCTAAGTAAGAAACCATTCATGTCTTGGCAGGGAATATAAGGGAATAAGCAAGTAGTCTGTCTAATCAGCATCTCCTGGAAGCAGCTGGCTGAAAGCTATGAATTCTTGTCTGCAGGATGTGGTGGTGGTTGCACCTGAGAACTTGGAGTTGTCCTTTTCAGAGTGGTTGATTTCTGTTTAAGACATCCTTGGACAATTTAAAGTAACCATGAATTTTATCATATTGATCCATCATAATGAACTGTTTGTCAAGCTTTTCTTATGTTGTCGACTTGCTAGTCATCGTTGCTCATCCACAGCTAGGAGATTGGTTTCCATTTTCCAGGCAGGTTTCGCGTGTGAAGTTTTGATAGTTGTGATTTTCTCCTTAAAGTTATACATCATAATGTGGTCATTATCTATCAACAGGTCCATGAATGTCACATTGGAAAATTCAGTCAGAAGTTTCAGGGATTTCTCACTTAGTGAAAAATACATCTGTGTCTTTTGTGTGACACAGTTTAATTAGACTGTCATTGTTGCTACTAGCATGGAAATGAGTTTTACTCCCCTTCAACAAGAACAATGGCCCCTGTTCTTGTTGACAGCATGCATTCCATGGACAAACGTTGGAGCTAGTAAGAAAAGAGAGAATAGTCTTCCTACTGAACAGCCACTCCATAATTGGTGGGGAGCAGGAGGAACACGAGAGAAGCAAAGAGGTGAAAGGACTGAAATGGCGCCCATAGAAGATCCTTCCCTTAAAGTACAAAGTGACTATGCAGCTACGTTGATTGTCACACCCTGTTCTAATCAACACTAGTGATGGACAAAGCAATTCCAATAGCACCCAAAAGGCCTCCTTTTCCATGTAGTGATTGAAATCTGTTGGATTTGTGCCTCCTGCATTTCTTCTGATTTGAAGGTAGGAGGAATAGGGTGTACCCAACTTCAACCTCAAGGAGCAGGCTACGAGGTTGCATCTGAACCCAAAGCTAGTTGCACCCCTCCCTTTCCTAGGGCCATAGAAGGACCTGGAGGATCTGGTCATGTCCATGATACGTTCCCATAGAATTGAGTCTGGTGGACCAAAATGCTCTCTATAATAATAATAATAATAATAATAATAATAATAATTTATACCCCACCACCATCTCCCCAAGGGGACTCAGGGCAGCTTACATGAGGCCAAGCCCAACAACACATCAGTAAAAACTACTGAGGAGTTTCCCATACTGACCTAGGGTTGAAGCATGTTTGACCAAAATCTGTTCTGTGGACCAAATATTCTACATCTTTCATTGGAGGACATCTTAGCCATGTTACTGTCTCACTAAGCTGTCTTAGCCTAAAGAGAGGGGAAAAAATGGAAAAGGGAGTAGTGACTTCTGTGCTGCTTCCTGTTGTTAAAAGCATCTTCTGGCCCTAATGTAACATTGGAGAGTTCAAAAAACATAGCAAAAATATTATTATCATCTTTTAGAGGGCATTGGGAGCAAAAAAAAAAAAAAAAGAAAAGAAAAGAAAAGAAAGGTTGAACTATTTTTTCAGGAGGGGTGCAATTGTAGCCCTCCAATCTATGTTCCCTCACCAGTACAATCCCCAACAGTTTTCCACCCTTGGATTTCCTCAACCATTGAAGAAATCCTGAAAGCAGAGCACTATCATTTTAATACTTCCACATACAATTTGCTTCATATATATAAGAGAAAAGTTGTTTCCTGGAGGCATCTTTGATTTGATCTTGTGTTTGCCTGTTCCACAATTTTCCAGCCTTTTGTGCCTTTTGCACTTTTGAGAGCTGATGTTCAAGAGATTTGGTAAAATATTTTGAGGCACCAGGGAATAATATTTTTGCATATTACTTGAAATTGCTTCACCAGAGAGACTTTATTTCTTCTTTAAGATCTTTTTCATCTTTTTAATGTTCTGATATTATGTTATCATGCTGGTAGGGGCTTTAAATTAATTTTGAGGAGTCAATTGTACCTAAACATGTCTATGAGGCTACATGAGGCGCAGAGCCACACTTTGTCTACTCCTTAGCTGTAGTGTACTTTTGTTGTATCACAGTGGTTATTTCATATGGTTGAGGTATATAATAGATGTTTTGGACACTCTTTTTGGAGTTGTAGAGTAGGATGGAAATTTTACTAAAGCAGAAAATGCTGTTGCCACCATGAAAACTGTTTTGTGAATAGATTCAGCCAGTAAAACCTTGCGAGAAAGTTACCACAGGTCAGAAATTACCCGCACGCAACAAGAAGGCACACAACAAGAAGAATGCTTTCTAAACACTCCAAATAAAGATTAATTAGTAAATAATCTGAAACAGATTCAGGGAGTGGTGACCAAGATGATCAAATGTGAGGGATGATTAAGGAAGTTGGATATGTTTATGTTGGAAAAGAGAAGACAGAGAGCTGTCTTTAGATATCTGAAGGATGTCATGCAGAAGATGGAGGAGGGTTGTTTCCCAGTGCTCCAAAAATGAGCGCATAAACCATTTGATTCTTTCTAAACAGTCCTAAATTTTTTTGTTTAAGTATGAGCTGCTTTTCAGTGGCATGGACTGCCTTGGAGGGCAGAGGACTTCGTTCAGAGGTTGGATGGGCATCTTTCAGGAGTGGGGTTATTTGTATATTCTGTCAAAACAAGGGTGTAGATTAGATGGCCCTTGTGATCTCTCAAGTTTTTAATCTCAAATCCTCTGTTGCTTTTTGCAATCCCACTATTTTCTGCTTCCCTCCTACACATTCCCCATGCCTTGCCAACCTGGTAAGGTCTGTATTAAGATGATCTATGTCTGTGAGTAACTATTTGCTGTTCTAGCAGAGAAAATAAGTCAGCAATGTGGTGTAGAGATTTGTGTAAATCGTCTACCTTGGCCTTGGCTTGCAAAGCAGAAATACTTTGCTGATGTGTCAAGCACTTTTACTCAGTTGTGATACTTCTTAAGAGTGATTGAGTCAAAAGTCCTGATATCATTTACTTAGATATCATTTAGCTTAGGAAAACACAACTCAGCCATTACGTAGGCAGCAGTATATTCAGTTATTTAAAACAGGGGTACTCTTCTCCTGGGAGAGTTTATACTAATATATTACACACATAAGTATTGCTAGATTAATATGGTATTTCAATGTATGCATGATAAGGGGGGGAGATATATATTTTGAAAAAGAATATGCTCTGTATTCTGGAATGTGTAGATGTGTAGGTGTTTGCCTGTTTCTTTTCTGAGAAGAGACATGTCTTTTGCTGGGCAACAGGTCCATAGCCATGCTGGCATGCTTGGTTTGCAGCCTTGAGTGGCAGAAAATAATAATAATAATAATAATAATAATAATAATAATAATAATAATAATAAAAACTACTCTATTTTTATACCTCCATCTCCCTGCAGGGACTCAGGGCAATTTACATGGGATCAAGCCCAGTTACACAAAGTTAAAAACATAGCATATAAAATATAACAATAACATAAAACAGCATAAAATAACATTATAACAATAATAAAACAGACATCATAAGCAACAACCAAGAACATACTTCAAGTCTCGTGGGAGGCGGGATGGAGTACAAACAGGTTAGAAAAAAGGTTAATCAGTAAGGTGCATGTAGCAACATATGGATAAGAGCAGATTGTAACAGGGACATTATGAGTTTAAAAGTGCAGTAGCAAAGGGCAGGGACATAGTATTTTTAGGCCATGGATTAGAGCCATGTAAGCCACCCTGAGTCCCTTTGGGGAGATGGAGGTATGGTATAAAAATAAAGTTATTATTACTATATATACTCCATTGGTGGTCCTTTTTTCTGATGGATTCATGTAAATACCTAAAACAGCCACTAGGTGGCAAGCTACACAAACTCTTTGTGAACCCCTGTTTCTGTTAGAGCAGTGCTTCTCAACCTGTGGGTCCCCAAATGTTTTGGCCTTCAACTCCCAGAAATCCTAACAATTGGTAAACTGCCCAGGATTTCTGGGAGTTGTGGGCCAAAACACCCGGGGACCCACAAGTTGGGAACCACTGTGTTAGAGGATCCCACATGGAGTCATGCCCCATAGTTCTGCTCTACAGCACAGCGACATCTAAAAGGGCTAACCCATCTGTTGGAATCTGTCTTAACTCATAAACTATATTTTGCATGGCTTGATTTTTTTTGACTGATGTTAAAAATACCTGAAATTAGTATACTCACTTTTAATAAATGAATCAATATTTTGAGCACAAAAAAAAAAGCAAGCCCTTGTTGTTTTAAATATTAACATCCTTGTGAAGTTATGTCATGTACTGTATATCCCACGAATTGTTCCCCACCCCACTTGCTGCTTATTACTGTGATAAATGCAAAGTGGAGTGTGATATTACTAGTGGTGTTGAAATCAAAGCATTTGGCCATTGACATGTGAATCCTAAAAGTTACTGTGTCTTATGTCCAGCTTACAGTCTTGTACATACAGAACAAAGATACTAGACACAGTATCATCCAGAGGAATATCTCATGGTGCTTCCTCCCGTTTCAGCAGGAGAAATTTTCAATTGCTGTTGTGCTTCTGGAACTGGATCCCAGCACACATTTCTTTAACTTCCAATGTGTTTTGTCTCCCCCTCCCTTTGCATGTTTCAGCAGCGAAAATCATATCTGGAACGGAGTGTAAAGGAAGCTGAAGACAACATCCGGGAGATGCTGATGGCAAGAAGAGCACAATAAGGTTTTTTTTTTTTTGCTTCAGCAGTGCTTACTATTTGCATTTGGACTGAACAACTGAAAGCAGGGCATACTGGGAGTCTTCGCTCCTAGACCCCTGCATATTGGAAATATACGGACATTGGCTTATCTTAACTGTGTTATGTGAGAACAAATAAATTCAACCTGGACCTGATCTAGGTTTTGTTTCAACATTGGTGGTTAGCTCTTTGGATCTCACTTCCTTTTTCCTATGGGAAGATATTTCTTCAACCTTTCACAGATTGTTATCTTGGAAAAAATATGAGTAAATGGCAAATAGACCAAAACAGCAAGGAACACCTTTGCCTAGTCTGGCTTTCCACCATCAGCATTGAGCGAGATTTAGGCAAAAAGGTCTTGTTTCTCTATCCAAATGACACATGTTGCATATGGATGTCACGTTTGCCAGTTCCAGAGAAAAATTGTGGTGCTTATGGATTATGTAAGGGAAGATACAAGTCAACCCCCTGCTTGGAGTTCAGGGATTCTTGTTTTCTTTGCTTTATAAGATTGTCTATTCTTATAATTGAGGGTGGGGGATTTTGCCAAGGACAACATAAAAGGACCAAAGGGGAATTACCACACACATACATGCACACACACATCTATATTAGATATGCACTGGGTGGATTTTTGTAGTGCTGAAGCTCCAGGCAGCTTGCCACAGTGAAAGCTGTCAATCATTTGCTGCTCCATATATTATAAAACTATTCTATCCAAGTCCATTAAAGGATACACAGGAGACTGTAATGTTGCTGCCACCTTATGGTTAATATTTGTATTATTTCCATTTTGCACCATTCTACTTCCAAGAAGCTGAGATTAATGATCATGATTGGGCTGCTGTGAGTTTTCCGGGCTGTATGACCATGTTCCAGAAGCAATCTCTCCCAATGTTTTGCTCCTCAGAGGTTGTGAGGTCTGATGGAAAGTAGGCAAGTGAAGTTTATATATCTGTGAAATGTCCAGGGTGGGAGAAAGAACTCTTGCCTGCTTGAGGCAAGTGTGAATGTTGTAATTGGCCATCTTGATTAGCATTAAATGGCCTCACAGTTTCAAAGCCTGGCTGCTTCCTGCCTGGGGGAATTCTTTGTTGGGAGGCATTAACTGGCCCTGATTGTTTCTTGTCCAGAATTGTTTCTGTCTTGATCATGATTCTTTATTTCTCTCATTTTATTCTAATAGAAACCATGTGAGGAAGCACAAAAAGCAAAGTTAGGATGGGCAACTGTACTGGCTAGAAACAAAACAAAACAGAAAGAAAACATGTAATACAGGGTGAGGCAGCATAACTTCCTTTTTTTCAAAACTTAATAAAACCCATTGTATGAATCAGATTTTTTAAATATTTCTTTATAATGTAGGCGCATACCTAAAGTTTTGTTTTACGTAGTTTTGAAGATCAAATTAGGTAGGTGACGTCCCCCATTCTCCATTCTCCATACACTGAGTAAACCGATTTCTGGTGTTTGTCATGACTCTTTCCAGCATAGCAGGTGTTATGTTGGCAATTTCTTCCTGGATGTTGGTCTTCAAATCTTGTAGGGTCCTTGGACGGTTCACATAAACATGGGATTTCAAAAAACAACCCATAGAAAAAATCACAAGGGGCCAAATCTGGAGAGCGGGCCGGCCACTTCAAATCCGCTCGAAAAGTAGGCCTCAACGTCAAAAGCACACTCCTCACTGTTCCAACGCATGATGACGACCGAACTGTGTCAGGACAAAACTTTATACTCCCGTCTCTCGAACAAGACCACTAGCGCTCCGCTACGTCTTCAACCGACTGAATGGCATGCATTTTAAAAAAGGAAGTTATGCTGCCTCACCCTATACCTACATTAAGACAACACAGTTGCAACATCAAACTGTACAACCTGTACAATCTGCCCAAGGAAAATGTTCTTTTCTTTATTGGGCAAGGTGACAAAGCAGATAAAAGGGGGGGGGGGGAGTATGTTTAAGGCATGTAGTCTTTGTCTAGGTTTGCTCCGGGTACAAGCTTGCCTGATTCTGGACAATAGTAAAGCCTGCACAGTATTTAGAGATTTTCATTTGACCTGATAAAGGTATTCTGCTGATATGGATCCTAGATCCTGTAATGTATCTCAGGTCATGAGGTAACGATTGGCCTAAAGTTGTTCAGGGAAGAGACTCCCAATTCTGGTTTAGTTCTGTACCTCCTGGCTTATCATTCTTCCTAGTATTGGTTTTTAACCCTTTCTGGGGTGATCTGAAGACAGTGGGAGCTGTTCAAGTTGTTTGTCAGTGAAGTATGTTACCTCAGAGTGTGATAGTTTATTTCTCTGGAGGCTTTTGAATAGAGCTGGATGGCCATCTGTCAGGGTGCTGTGGTTGTGTTTCCTACATGGCGGAATGGGGTTGGACTGGGTGGCCCTTGCGGTCTGTTTCAACTCTATGATTGTGCTCAAGAAGCTCTCTACTACCTTCGATTACCACTCAGTATTTTAAATTTCAGGGGAGTAGCTTTTCAGGGACTGGCCAAAAACACACCTAAGGTAGGGTGCTGTCTTGTTATTTCTCAACCTGTGTTCAGAAAAAGAATTATTCTAAATGTAATCTACCATCCTATTTTCAACATGTGGAAAAATGCTCCCACCTAATAGAGACCTGTCCCTTATGGATAAGGCTTCACTGTGGCTTGGCAAACGTTATGAGTGCTGAGCTGGATTCCAAGATGGGTGAAACTGAGGAAAAAGAGAAACTAAGATCAGTATTCTTTTCATCTGTCCTATTGATTCTTGAATCAAGCTGCCTTTTGTTTTACTTCTTTGTAGAAACTGGAGCCTGCTTACTGCAAAATAAAATTGAACAGAAATAAGAGTACCACAAGATAATCCAATGCTGCCATCTGTTGGCGAAAATATATTTTATTCAATGTATTGTCGAAGGCTTTCACGGCCGGAATCACTGGGTTGTTGTAGGTTTTTTTGGGCTATATGGCCATGTTCTAGAGGAATTCTCTCCTGACGTTTCTCCTGCATCTATGGCAAGCATCCTCACTACCTCTGAGGATGCTTGCCATAGATGCAGGCGAAATGTCAGGAGAGAATGCCTCTAGAACATGGCCATATAGCCCAAAAAACCCTACAACAACCCTATATTTTATTCAGTTGCAAGGTGATTGGTTATTTCAACTGTACTTCTCAAGTCCTCACATAAATACTTTGACAAGGGGTGCTTTCAGACAGGACTATGATAGAGAGCATCAAAAATAGCCTTGGCCTTGTGTGTGCCTCCCTTGCCTTAGAATCTGCAAGGAAGCTGAAATCATTCTGCGTCTGAATTGTGGCATCAAGATGGTCAAAACTATGATTTGCTCAAAGATGAGACGGAAATAGCATTTGAGCTATATTTGTATATTTAGATATATTTAAAGTATTTATTTATTTATTTATTTATTTATTTACTTGTATACCGCAGTTTCTCAGCCCAACAGGCGACTCAACGCGGTTTACAACAAGGGTAAAAAGTCAATCAACGATATACAATTTAAAACCATAAGAACACAGTATACAAATATTAACACAACAGTAAGAACCCAATACATCTAATCACTAGAGTCGTGATCCAATTCGTCGTCCATATTTCCATTCCTGTGATCATCACATTCATTGCACTGTTTATCCGAATGCCTGTTCGAACATCCAGTTTTTTAATCTTCTTCGAAACACCATTAGCGAGGGGGCTGATCTCACCTCCATGGGAAGGGCGTTCCACAGCCGAGGGGCCACCACAGAAAAGGCCCTATCACATCCCAGGCCACAAGACCTTTCAACGGGTAGTGTTTGTAATTGTTTTAGACAACCAGCACGGAAAGCACAAAAGTTTGTAACTAAAAGGGCAAAGTCGTACCCTTTTAGTTTATGTGAGTTGTATGGAAACCACTCCTACAATTCGCAGAACATAAAAAGTCTACCTGGTAAATATTAGCTGTTGATCTCCAGAGATAGAATGTAACAGGAGAGGACTACAGCGGTAGTTCAGCCCACAACTATTTTTAATAGCAAATTATTTCCTGTTTTTTGTTTTTTTTTCTGGGTCAAGTGCACCCCAGTCTCTTCCTTGAATCCCACAAACTCCTTCCATCATTCCGAAACTGCCAGCCCCTTTCTCTTTGGATTTTTTGTTTTCTTGCTGAAAAAAATATCTACAGAACATTTTTTTTCCATTTCACCTGCTCAGCTCAATTAAATGTCAGCCAAAACAGATGGAAAACTGAGAAGAACTAACGGGAAGGACACTTTAAATCCCTCCAGGGTTGTATTCTGTAATAAATTGCAATCCAGCAACTTGCTTCCTAGACCCACCACTGCCCATCCTTCATTTAGAGACTTACCTTTAAAAGTAAATACTTAAATTGTTCCCCTGTTAAATGCAGTCTTAGCCATATTTTTTTTAAAAAAACTTTAATTGACATTCTTACCCAGTTTCCAGCATGCCATAGTGCCATTTTTTCTTGAATATATATTTTTAAAGGCTGAATGTAATCAGACCACTTACATTTAAAATGGTTGAGATGCAACAATTACTGTTCCAGAGATACTCCTATATAAACTTTTTAAAGCACACTGGGCCTTATTTTTGTGGAGATTGGCAGCAGTACTTCAATGAGTAATTGTTTGATAATGGTATCCTTTTAAAATTATTCAAGAAAAAGAAAAAATTAAACGCACAAGCACCATTCAGTTATTGATTTGTTTACCTGAACCTAAATTTCTTGACTTGGAGAAACAGAGGCAGAATAATTTTTGGACATGGTTTTAAGTGTGTGCGTCTGGGGGGGGGGGGGGGGGGGGGGGGGGGGTGGTTATTTCTCTAAAAATGTAGTAAGCTATGTTAGGCAAGTAGGCTTATTAACAAAAGACCCTCCTCATAAATGTACAGCAGAGTAACTTATTAGCGGCAGTGTGACCCAGCACCAGTAGCCAAAAGTGATAAAAAGAACAAAAAAACACAGACCAATGTTATCTCTTATTTAGGAGGCTTTCCTTTTAGTAAAATAATATGGTTGCACTATTTACAAGACCATAACACAAATAAAGTTCTTTATACTTCTATCTTTGTTTTCATGTTAGGCTTCTTTTTCATGCCGATAAACAGCTTCTCCCTCACTGAGCTTCCTCTCACACAGGAGCCTCACACAGTAGCTTTTTACATGATGCAGCCTTCACACACAAGGTCTTCAACCTGGGGCTCCTCTCACCAAAGCTTCTCACACCAGGCCTCTTCATACTGAGGCCTACTAACTCTGAGGCCTACCTCACTCTGAGGCCTACTAATACTGAGGTTTACCTCACACTGAGGCCTTTCTCAGACTGAAGCCTCTTCATACTGAAGGCAACTAACACTGAGGTGTACTAATCTACAGGCACACCTGCTTATATTGAACTGCAGCTTTCGTTGAGTAATTGCATCCATTTAACCCTTTCAGTGCTTCACTCACATTTTTGTAATTAAAAATAACTAGATAATTTTTAATATTTTTGACAAGCTATTCCTTTGGGAAATAAAGATTTTGAGGGTGGCACGGTCTCATTAAGACCCCAAAGATCTGCTCTTGATGAAGATAGAAACTAGTAGAACTGGTAAATTGACTTTGAGCTGTTAGTTGTCTTGTTGTTTGGAAACACATTGTGACTTTCTCTCCCTTTTCTTATGTTTCCACGTGTCTGTTCAGCTAAAGTTCAGCAAGTTCATTACTGTAACTGAGTTCGCCTGGCATGATTGTCAGCTGATCCTAATGAATTATGAACCGTTCCCCTTTAGGGTGATACTCCAGCCACATATATATAGATAAAGGCAGCCTCACATCTCTTTGTGGGCATAGCTGTGGGGATCCAAATGATGTGTGATGTGAAGCCTAAGGGCCATCCAGTCCAGCCTTATTCTGCCATGCTTTCCAACAGATGGCCATTCGGCCTCTGCTTAAAAACTCCAGAAAAGGAGACTCAGCCACTCTCCAAGGCAACATACCCACTTATGAGTGTCTGCAATTCAAATTTTACTGTGGGACAGTAGCATCCCTAGGTCTTGGAAGAGGGCAAAGCATCGTTCCAAGAAAAAAGGAAGTAATTTCTTTGAAAGGAACAATTCTCTAGCAGGGGATGGATGGCTTCTTCTCCATTTGGTCATCTGATACTAAGAGACTCAACAATGCTGTCTGCCAAGGTTCACAAGGTTGCAATTATGACTTATAAGCCATTAAGAGGAAAAGGAAGGAGAGTATCTTAGTTTTTAGGTCAGCCTCCGCAGATGCCTCTGTTGTGTCATTTCTCATTCAAATGACCCTAATGTGCCCTGAAACTCAGTTAAAGCATTTCAGTGTATTATTTTTTATATACTGGAACATTTATCCTCCTTTTCCACTACCAAAAGCAGAAGTTGGAGTTGGAAGTAAAATCCATGAGTGTATGAAACAATTGATCGCAGAGACACAGTAGAACAATAATAGTGGTCTCCATTATTGCCATCAACTGCATTCCATTATGAATTGGGAACTTCATCTGGTAGAGGGATGTCTTTCTCCAACCCTCTAAATTACTGTGGGCTCAACTTCTTGCTGCAATCAAATTTGTGGATGAATTTTGGTACTACAGGAGCAATAAAAGAAAACACCAAGGATTTGGCTTCAAATTTGTAACCACACCTTGATTTTAAGAGAAACTATGCTTCTCCCTACAGACCTTTTAGTCAAACTGCAGCTTTTGGAGACAGTGTAGCATGGAATTCAGGTGTTGTTGTTTATTTGTTCAGTCGTTTCCGACTCTTCATGACCTCATGGACCAGCCCACGCCAGAGCTCCCTGTTGTCACCACCCCCAGCTCCTTCAAGGTCAATCCAGTTGCTTCAAGGATGCCATCCATCCATCTTGCCCTTGGTCAGCCCCTCTTCCTTTTCCCTTCCATTTTCCCCAGCATCATTGTCTTCTCTAAGCTTTCCTTTCTTCTCATGATGTGGCCGAAGTACTTCATCTTTGCTACTAATATCCTTCCCTCCAATGAGCAATCAGGCTTTATTTCTTGAAGTATGGACTGGTTGGATCTTCTCGCAGTTCAAGGCACTCTCAGAACTTTCCTCCAACACCACAGTTCAAAAGCATCTACCTTTGCTCAGCCTTCCCTATGGTCCAGCTCTCACATCCATAGGTGACAATGGGAAATACCATTACTTTAACTATGCGGATCTTTGTTGTCAGTGTAATGTCTCTACTCTTCACTATTTTATTGAGATTGGTCATTGCTCTCCTCCCAAGAAGTAAGCGTCTCCTGTTTTCCTGGCTGCAGTTTGCATCTGCAGTGATCTTTGCACCTTGAAATACAGGTGTGTTTGTGCATATATATGTACCTACCACTGCTTCAACACCATAAATGAAAATAATCAGTGCAATTGGACTTCTAAAATTTGGATTGGTAAACTCTTGACAGTCTCTCCTAGAATTAGCTGGAGGGGAGGAGAGAGATTTTTGTGCTTCTAGATTTGTTATGTTGGAAAGTGCTCAAGTGTAGTTGAAAAATATTACACACACACCTTGAACTTAAGAAGTGTTTTGTGTTGTCATCAATGATCCAGTGATTGGGGTGTGGAAGGTTTCAAAACTTAAATTACTATTCTCTGTCTTGCTACATTTTTTTAAAGAAAAAAAGTCCAAACTAGCTTTATTTTACTTAAAATCCTTATATTCTACCCCACCCCCAATTTAACACCGTGCAGGATCTCCAAAGCAGCATTAGTTTAATCATTACAGATAAGAAGGCAGTGATTTCATTCAGATTAGTGAATAGTCTCTTTCCTTGTTCCTCCTCCTCCTATGGTTTCGGGTCTTTTTGCGTAATAAAACATTTGCTTGCTCTAGAATAGGTGGATATACACAGAAAAAAAGTGTTGCACAACATCTCAGAGCCAATACTGAACATATTAATAAACCTGATAAGTTAAATGTTAATCCTCCTATCCTAAATTAATTTAGATTCGCTGTTACCTCTCACCTATCAAATTTTAGCTTTAGAAAATGTTAACAGCTAGTATTCGTATTTAAAACTCTGTATATTTGTTGCAAAATTATATCCTTTTCCCAGAAACGTAAATGCTATTTTTTGTAAACATTAGAGGAGAAGGAGAGAGGGAGATGGCACCTTAACTTCACTGTTTGAACAACATAAGTTATACGTTGCTGTATCAAATCTGAGTGTTTGTTGTTTTTAAGCAATTGACAGTGCAAGTGTCCTGAGAAGGAAGAGCCACTTTTTAAAGTAGAGACAAAGGTGAATGGTGTTGCAACCTGAAAAGGCAAAGTGCCTTAGTTTTGTGCAGGGAGAGCAGGAAGTGTACCCTGTGCAAGAAGGAGCGGCCCACGGTCTTGCCCTGTGCTGCCCAAGGACATACATTTGAGAAGTAGAAAAACAGAGAAGCTGAAAATAGAATCCACTTGCTCATTCTTAGATATGTGTCTCCTTGTTATATACAGCAATTATCATATTCTAACAAGGCTCAAATAATTTTTTTCTCACTTAAAGCACTTCATTTCCTATGTAGCATTTCTTCTCTACCACATTTTCTTAGTGGTGAACATGAGAATAGTCAATGAACAGCCACATTCCTTCTCCCACATGCTTCTCAGAACTGCTCTCTTTTTCAGAGTGTATCATACTGTCTGGCGTAACTAAAGAGCGAGTCTTCCTGCTCTGTAGAACACAGTGCCTTTTTTCTTCTTGAAGTTTCCTGGAGAAATCACTGAATACTGTAATTAGTATTAGCTCTCTAAGGCTCAGGCTCCCTTTCTTTCCTGACCCTTCCTTCCTTGAGAATATATTCCCAGTTCTGTTTTGCCTTAGATATTAACAGCAACCAAGAAACAGGATACAGAATGATGTCATGGTTCAGCAAACTTGCATTCTGCTCTAAAATATCTCGTGGGTGTACTGTGCACACATTGCTAGCCTTTCTGGATAAACAGCAGTTTGTGCAACCTATATGAGACTAATAAGCAAGTCTTTGGAAATCCCCATGGCTAAAACTGGCTGCCTTATAAAGCAGATAATCAGTTTGAAACCCCTTCAGTGGAAACAAGTTTTGCTTTGAAGTAGCTTTTTGTGTACGCTCATAAAAGCCTTTGTTTCTAATCATAGGGGTTTTACCCTGTGTATTAAAGCTTGGAGCCTATTGTTAATGTTGGCTAGAGTAGACACATTAATCAATGAGACTTATATAACCATTGACATTCCAAGCTACCATTGAATCAATGGGTCTGCTTCAATTAGGAGTAACAGGATTTAGGTCGAACTTAGCAGCAAACAATGGAGCACAGCTATTACTGAGAAATCGAGTTGCTGTTCACTATCTAGAAGGCTGCATGAATCCCACCCTGCTATAGGAGATGCTCAGTTTATATGGCTGCTACACTAAAGAAGTAGTAACTTGCGTGGTTGGGTTTGTATGGAGCAGGCATCCTCCAACTGCAGCTGTTCAATTCCCAGAAGCCCTAGCCAGCTTGTTCAATGGTCAGGGATTCTGGGACTGGGAGGTTCAAACAACTGGAAGGCCACAAATTGAGGGTGCCTGATGTGGCAGAATGTAAGCAGCCTCTGTTGACCCTTTTTGTGCTTAGGATATAAAGCAACACAACATTTGCAGACATAAAGGACAACAAGATTATCCAGACTAATCCTCTTTGAGAGGAATCAAGCCCATATACCCTCCCTCCGAGTATGTTCAAGTATTCTATTATGCAGAACACTTTGTTGCAACTAACCCTGAACAAAAACCACTTTGCTAGCAACTGTATTAGATACATCTTCATCTGGGACTATACTGCCATTGCTTTATTTAACATCAGTTTTCTGTTTTCCGAAATACATGCTATTTTTAATTTATTTGAGCAATTTATCAGAAGTAATTACCACTGAATCTTTTAAGAATGACGGGCTTCCTAGAGTAGAGGGCCCATAATGAAACAGTGAAATAAATGGCTTGAAATTTGGAAGTATCTTGCAAACACACAAGAAAAAAATTGACTCAATTTGAGGCCCATTATCTTTACTGGACGAAATTTATTAAAACAGAAGTGGAAGCAAGTAAGAAAAACAGAAATGATTGACTTAAATTATTGCATATTATTCCATTTCTAACAATGGTAAAAATTATAAATACATAATTTGTAGTAAAAGCCAAAAAAAAGGTATTTAGCACATTCTTTAGAGAACAACCAGTCTTAGAAACATAGGCTATAAAGAGGTGGGCAAGTGAATTTTTCCTCCATTGAAACTAAAAAGTGCATAACCAACATCACGGTGCTATTTCTATGGCAGACCTGTTTCTGTCGCCTGTGCAAAGCGGATCATTTATTACAGTACTAAAAAGCTGTTGAGGAGAAGGAAAAGAAGGAGACGAAGAATGCATAGCACTCTGAAGTAGAGGTATCAAGAGGCTTGGCTTCTCAGGGCACTCAGGTCAGCATGTCCCAAAGGCAGCAGCAGCACAGTGCGGTCCAACAGGCGGTCAGGCAGGCACTTTCACCCGTGTCATCCCTTCGCCGCTCTTCCACAACATACACTGCAAAAGAGAAACATCTCTGTGAGAGGAACTGTATCCGTTTTTGATCTCTCACACAGCCACACTTGACTATTACAAGAAAGGGCCTGTGGCTGCCCACTCTGTAGAGCTGTCTTTCCATGACACTCTGGTTGCTCTCTTTATGTTTAGAAAGAACAGGCAGTGAAGCAGCTTTTGGGGTCAGTGTTCGTTGGAAAGGACAGATGCAGAGAAACCCATCCTTCTCATCTTTTGTCACAGGTGTAAATGAATTTTCTAAACACAACATCAAGGTTATCCTAATCCTACCCATCTCAAATATTTCATTATTTTGCTAATGGAGATAAGACTGCTCCCCAATTTTAAAAAATACATTGAAAGGATGATTGAACTGTAAGGGTACTGTTAAACAGTTTCACTGAAAATGATAACATTCATTAGCTGAAAATATAGTAAAGATTAACCCAGGTGCTTACTGAGATATAATCAATAATAATAATCACCCACCTTCTTCTGGCTTGAGGTGGGATACAACACAGTCAAAACGTAATACATATACCAAAACACATGGTACAAAGATCAAAACACTCTCCAAATAGCCTTTCTGGCCCTGAGCCTGTTTCAGCTTAATGGATTCAGCCAATGGCTGGACCAAAGCAGCCTGAAACTAATTGAACAGGTTTGTCTTGAAATCTATCCGGGCCTTCTTTTGTGTCTCCTTAGGCTGAATGAATGCAGAGAGTCTAGCAAATACCATTTCTGTTTGCCTGCACACAGAAGACACATTGTTTATACTAGACTCCAGCATCAGCTGTCTTGACAGCAGTTCCATTTAACACTAGCTCTGCCATCTTGGCTGGCATAGCCCTTGATGGCTTACAGTCACTCCAGGATAGCCTTCCCCATTCTGGTGGCCTCTAGATGGGAGAGACATGAGCCGGTATGTTTTACTCCTACTATTCCTGTCAGCCACTTTACATATTGACTTGTTGCAGTGTGCAATGGTAAGAATGGTTTCAGCTGAGGCCTCATATAATACTAGCTTCTTGCCATGAGTGTGGCCACCCTTTCCCTTCCAGAGAATATGGCATATTGCCAATCTAACTTGTAAGATTTGCACCTCAAGAGGAGGCTAGAAAACATCCAGGTAACTGGCTAGTGATGTGCCCTCTCCAAAGCTGGGGCAAATGGTAGAGAGTGTTTGGCAATTACATGGTGAAGGCATCAAAGAGCTTTAGTCTCACAAGGCCAAGAAGTCACCAACCAACAGTTCTTCTGGCTGGCCCTTTCTGCTATGACACAGCTATGCTATGCAGGGAGTACTGGATACTGTTATCTGAAGTTTCTTTGCCAGGCATGTACACACACACACCCTCCACCCTTTCTTTAAAAGGTGGATTGGCAGGGTAACAGAAAGGGTATCAATGAGGCCAATTTAAAATGGGGGGGGGGGTAATGAATGGAGGAAGGATCCAAGAGGCCAGTGGACCTGCTGTCCCCAGTACCCCATCCATCAGATAAGATAAATGTATGCTGAGAAAGACAATCATTTTCTTCCATGCAATGTCTAGTTTGACACTCAATCCTAACTTAGAGGGTTGTTTTAGCCAGAAAAACTTTAAAAAAATAAAAATAAAAAGACAGAATCCTATATGCTTATACAACAGTATGATATGATTTCAAAAAGAGGGAGAGCATCCCTTCCATGGATCCCCAAACAATGACAAGGTATCTTGATACCAATGGACAGGAGGTTGGCAGAGGCTGGAAATGCTGGCTAGGGACATCTGGGTGTTGTAGTCTCAAGGTAACTCCCCAATCCCCACTAGTTTATATATCAGCAAGTATCTTTTTACATAATTAGAAAAGTGGCATCCTTGTCTAATGTTTTAGAAAGTGTTTCATGTCTTCCATTTTTGCAAGTGAAAAAAATAACACATCAAGATCTTATTGTACCAGGAGGCAGTGCTCTTCTAACACATTCTCCAACTGGCATGTTTCCAGAGTAAGCAAGCATATCAAAGACTAATGCAGTCCCTTTTGGTCCCCTGGGAATGGGATGGGTGTGAACTAGGAGTGTAAAAAGAGCATACAAGACTGACCTCTGACACAGTTAGATACTGCTTAGAAACAAGTGATTGAAATAGAGTAATATGCTAGGTGGGCCTGCAGCACTGTGAAGCTTGTGTTGTAGGAGGAAATGGGTGGGTGAATGTGTGCGAAGAACATTGAGGAGATGCAAGCATCCAGGTAGATGATGAGAACAGCTGCCAGGCCTTTACCAGAAGAATCCCAAACTTGCCACTGGAAGCAAAGCTGTCCTTATAACCCTAGCTGATCAACAGCCCCATTTCCTGTGCAGGCCTTTTGTAAGATCTGTCTGACATTTGGCCTCGGTTAATACAGAATAGAGAACTGGCAATTCTTGCTCCTTCTCTGATCCAAGTATTGTCTGCCCAAAGGTAATCTTCACACGTCGAAGGAATCCTTCTCTAAACTGTAAATCCCAGGATTCCCTATGATGTTGCCATAACAGTTAAAGTGCTCTAACTGTAAAATGTGAAAGGGCTCCTGTTGTGAAGGTGCCTTGCTTCACTTGCAACTCAGCTGCCTCTGCAAGCAACAGCAAGCAGATACAAACAGTATTCCTTTCAACTATACAACACACTTTATGGTTTGAAAGGATAATGAACAGCCCATGTTTTATGGCAAGTGAATCAGGAAACATGGGATCTGAGCTAGAAGATGGTGGGAAATCCTGTAATTCCATCTCTGGCTATTTTCTAGTCTAGTCCATAGTTGTTTGGGGCTGAGAGAAGATGGAGTGGGAGAAGCAGATGGAGTGGGATTTATTTTCAGCCACACTTTTTCCATTCCAAAACAGTATCTGCTTTCTCCAAGGCATTTTTGAGCCAAGTGTCCAAGTACACACACTTGAAAGATCAAAACTTCCCAGGCCAGGGAATCGGGGATCTGCAAGATTTAGGCTAAAGTAAATCTCTTGAATCAGTTTAATTTATCTACCTGTTGATTCACCATTCAACAATCTATTAAATAGGTAAGATTCCAGCTCAATAGCATGTGCCAAATAAGATCCCTTGCCTACAACATGATCATGGATGGGAAAGATATCATTAACAACATCAGCCAACACAAAGGAAGTTGGCAGAACAACTGGGGTCATTGCAGCTGGCAAGATAGATCCCTCCCTCCAAGTAACCATTGCTGAAAGAAACAACATATATTCCTGCACATATATCCCATCATATTACCAAACCAGAGAAAGATAAAATAAATTTAGCAAGCCATAAATACACTAAGTTGTTTAAAAGGCATAAACACACACATACAAAGACCGAAAAGCAGACTTATGCAAGATGACTACTGTCAGTAGATCCCACAACGCACATTCCTTGCAACTTCTATTTTTGCCTGCTGGAAACCCTACACTTGCTTCACCCCAGAAATAAACATACTGAGTGGGCATGCGCACAACACTGTTGCCGGAGTTCATAGCAAAGGTAATATGAGCCTGTGCCAATACCTTTTGTAAGAAGATCTGTACCTTGTATGCTCCAAAACATCTTGAGAGAAAGGTTTCCCCTTTGCATGCTCTTTCCAGCTATATCTAACAAATGCAACTTGTGCTATCTTCTTGGTTTGTGTGAAAACTTCTTACCAAATGTCAACATCTGCCCTTTAAAAATTGTAACAGTCCACCCACTGGACTATGAGCTTCAATGGCTTCCTGCCTTCAAGGTTTCTCAAGGAAAGAAAGAAAATACTACCTGGTGCAAGAATTTGCACTCGTGGCAGGCATGAGGCAAGGTGAAAGGACAGTGGCTTTGCTGATTGCAGTAGAGATAGTGAAACGGGGATCTTGCCAAAACCAATAGTTTTTTAATAACTGTCTTCTGGTGCTTGCTATATTTTGCATTGAAGTCGCTGTTATCTTCTAAGTAAAATAAAATGCAGCTAATTTAATGCCAAACAATGAAGATCAATTCCAGATCTCTCAGAACAAGTCCAACTGCCTGATTTTGGATCCTCATCTGCCTGGCAAAGGAAAGCACTGGCTTGCTAGGCGAGCCAGCAAGCAAAGATTGCCATGCTCTTTATCTAATACTGGTTGGTTGTCTAGCCCTGTTAAAACACTGAGATGAATGTGTGACTTCTAAGCATGAGGATGCATGTACCAACCATATGCTGTCTCTGTCAAAATCAATCGCAACATCCCCCGTGTCTGTAGCTTTTTGTTTGGTTGAAAATCATTGCAATTTTGCAGTGGATTCAAATCTGTGTTTCTGACTAAGCTACTAGCACAACTTGTTAATATTTAGTCTTAGAGTTTGTGGAATTGAATCTCACAAAAACAGAAGTTCAGCTCACAACTTTCCCATCACATCATTATCACCACTGCCATTGGTGTTGGTTTTCCTTCTGGACCATGTTCATGGCAAAAGAAATTACTGTGAATGGTGGGAGGATCTTTTCTCTGAAGGAAATTGCATGCTTTGATTCCAGTTTTTGCCAGTCATGAGAATCTTTCTCCAAGACAACACCGACATTCACAGGCCTGACAGGCTGTTCACTGTTTCCTGAGGCCACAAATTGGACTCTGTGAACACACTGTGCTATCTTTCCCCTCCCTTTCTGGGCAGCAGGAGGAGAAGAGCTTACACAGAGGGATATTTCCAACTGCTTATTCTTTGGAAGCCAACCGTCTATAATTTTTCAAATTAAAAAGAACCACCTGCATCTGAGGTATCGCCACCTTGGGATCTTATTATCCTATGTACTGCAGGTCAAAAGGGAGTGCTGCTTTATCATCTATGGGCGTGGACACTGTCGGCAAGTACCAGTCTGTACAATAAGCACAAGCTTAATTTGAAAAGGAAATGCATTACCTTTGTCTTACTACAGAGGTCCTTATCTTGGGTATGCACGCAGTTTCTGCCTGTACCGATAATTAGTTAATGATTAACTTTAGGGGGAAAATGGATTGTTGAGGTCTTTTAACT